GCCTGTAGTCCCAGCTAGTCGGGGAACTTGAGGCAGGGGAATGGCGTAACCCGGGGGGGCGGGAGCTTGCAAGTGAGCTGGAGAATCCTTTCCCGGCCACCTTCTAAGCCTGCGGGCGGGACAGACGAGAACTCCGGCTTTTTCAAAAAATAAATAAAATAAAAAAATTAAATTAAATAAATAGGAAATTATTTCTTTAATTTTTCATTTTTTTTGAGTTTGAGGTGTTTCTTACGTCTTTGTCAAACCAGGCCTGGATGCTGGTGGTTACAATGATTAGTTCACTTGCAGCCTGCGATCTGCTGGTCAAAGCACTTTCCTTCCTGCCTCAAGCCTCCACAAAGCAGCTGGGATAACAGACATAGAGCCACCGTTTGCTGGGCTAGTTTTTTTTAAAATTAGGCTTCATTTTTTAAAAAAAATTTGCCAAGAGACAGGTTGTCTCACCAGTTGCCCAGGCTGGTATCGAACTCCTGGCTTCAATCCTTCTTCTCTCCTCAGCTGCCTAAAGTGCTAAGATTACAGGTGTGAGCCACCACACCCTGCTTAAGTTTCATATTTTAATTTTATATACGTAATTATTACTGTCCTTAAGATAATTGGGGCAGTAATCTCTTTAAAGTTTTAGAGACTTAATTTATCTATTCGCTCCACTGGAAGAGTATGCCAATTGGTTTCATAAGAAAATATATTTATAAATCAGAAAATTTATTTCCACCAATCTAGGGGGCATTCGAAAGCAAGTAATTGCATTAAGTAACATCATTTAGGATGAAAACAGATGCAATGGTATCTATTAACGATGCTTATCAGTGAGGGAAACAAACTAAAGAAATGAACATCGTTAGATCCTTGGAAAACCCTCACTGCTGAAAATCTAAGTGATTCTGTGATACCCTTTTGAGTCTTGCAGGACACATTCTCTTTCCAGAGCCTATAAGAGTAAATCATTTCTTTTCATCCATTTTCATTAAGAGCTGAACTTCCCTGATGTTCTGGAGATTTTTAAATTTGATTTGTGGCCAGGCGCAGCGGCTTACGCCTACAATCCTAGCACTTTGGGAGGCCAAGGTGGGCAGATCAGTTGAGTTCAGGAGTTCAAGGCCAGCCTGGCCGACATGGCGAGACCCCATCTCTACTAAAAATACAAAAATTAGCCAGGCATGGTGTCACATGCCTGTAATCCCAGCCACTCAGGGGGCTGATACACAAGAATCGCGTGAACCCGGGAGGCCAAGTCTGCAGTGAGCCAAGATCATGCCACTGTACTCCAGACTTGGTGACAGAGTGCGACTCTGTCTTAAGCAAAAAAAAATTTTGATTTGTGTGGTTGTGAGAAGTGCTTATATTGCTGACTCCATTGCTTATTTGTGATCATATAAATCTCTTTTCTCCTGTCTGTAGTGTGAGTTAAACTTAATCCTTAAAGGACATGTATTTCCGCTGGTTAGAGTTGTTTAGCTAGTAGAAACCTGAGTATATGAGAATCAAAGAAAAGTGCTCCTTACATGCCACAGACTTAGCTTTCTTTCTGTACTAAGATTTCTTTTAGGTATAGTAATTTGTTAAAGCCAAGAGCTCCTATGGAATGAAGTTAGGTGGGAGGGGGGCATTGAGTAGTAAGATCAACTTTATAATAGAGATGCCACTCTTGCAGGTGTTGACAGCTATTGGGCCCAAAACATTGTTACCAAACATTGGAAAGACAAGATATGAGCAACTTCTCATTGCTGCAGTCTCAAATATCAGGAAATACCATTATCCTCAGGACAATGAATAGACAATCAAAAGAGACTCACAGACTAGATCCGCTGTCATGTATCATCAAACAGGGAATGGATCCTTGTCAAACAACACCCAACAGAGATTATCCTCAGAAATTCACTTCATAACATCAAAACCAGAAACACACACTGATGCCACTGATGGCAGAAAACAATGATGGCAGAAAGAGAGAGAGAGGGAGATAGAGAGAGGAAGGACTTGCCCAATGACCATACTTAGTATATAAAAGCAAAAGAACTCAACTTCTGCTCATGAAAGCAAGAACCGAGGGAACAAGAGCCAGTATCTCTAAGGATCCAGGTCTGCACCAGGGGCCTGTTAGGTGCAGGATTCTGTTGGCTCCAATGATGGGTCTCAGATGGACTAATTTTTATGGACATAGCCTCTGAAAGAAATCAGTCGAGGAATAATATAGAGACACTTATCTGCATGCTCATTCTCCATTACTATAGAAGGGAAACTGGCATTAGATTGTTTTAATCAAATAAAAGCAACATCAAGATTTATAAAGAAAAGAGGAAAGGGGAGGAGAAACAAATGACTGGGACCATTGTGATTTTGCTCCCTTTGGATAAGCAACTTGGCAGAAAGCTATCAAAGAGGTCACTGTGACCTGTCTTCTCTGGACGAATGTGACTTGGTCACCACAGGAGACAATTACAGGCTGGGCACAGTGGCTCATGCCTGTAATATCAACACTTTGGGAGGCGGAGGCGGGCGGATCACTTGAGCTCATGAGTTGGAGAGCAGCCTGGGCAACATGATGAAACTCGGTCGGTACAAAAAATACAAAATTTAGCCAGGCATGGAGGTGTATGCTAGTAGTCCCAGATACTCAGGAGGCTGAGGTGGGAGGATCACCTGAGCCCAGGAAGGTTGAGGCTGCAGTGAACCATGATTACACCCCTGCACTCCAGCCTGAGTGACAGAGTAAGACCATGTCTCTAAATAAATGAATTAAATTTGAAAAAGAAACAAGGCCAGGCCACTATTCACAATAGCAAAGACTTGGAATCAACCCAAATGTCCATCAGTGACAGACTGGATTAAGAAAATGTGGCATATATACACCATGGAATACTATGCAGCCATAAAAAAGGATGAGTTCGTGTCCTTTGTAGAGACATGGATGCAGCTGGAAACCATCATTCTCAGCAAACTATCACAAGAACAGAAAACTAAATACCGCGTGTTCTCACTCATAGGTGGGAATTGAACAATGAGATCACCTGGACACAGGAAGGGGATCATCACACACCAGGTCCTATTGTGGGGAGCGGGGGCAGGGAGGGATAGCATTAGGAGATATACCTAATGTAAACAATGAGTTAATGGGTGCAGCACACCAACATGGCACATGTATACATATGTAACAAACCTGCACGTTGTGCACATGTACCATAGAACTTAAAGTATAATAATAAAAATTAATTAATTAATTAAATAAAAAAGAAACAGGGCCAGGCAGGGTGACTCACACATGTAATCCCAGCACTCTGGGAGGCCAAGATGGGAGTATCACTTGAGCTCAGGAGTTCGAGACCAGCCTGGGCAACATAGTGAGACCTCATCTCTAAAAAATACATACATATATCTTAATAAATATATATAATAAAATATATACTATATTTTATTATACATAATATATAACTATGTATTTATTATATAATTATAATAAAATATGTATATATTTTATTATATATAATAAAATTTAAAAGAAACAATTACAGATGTTGAAGGACTTTAAAATAGCCAGGTGCAGTGGTTCAGGCTGGTAATCCCAGCACTTTGGGAGACTGAGACAGGAGGATCACTTGAGCCCAGGAGACTGAGAGCACAGTGAACTATGATCGTGCTACTGCACTGCAACCTGGGCAACAGAGCAAGACCCTATCTCAAAAAATAAAATAAAATGTCTTAAAAGTTTAGCTGTCCATCCTATGAAACTGAATATCTGCCTGGCCAACATGAATGAAACTTTGTCTCTCTACTAAAGAATACAAAAATTAGCCAGGCGTTTGTGGTGCAGTGTCTGTAGGCTGAGATCACGTCCATCTGAACGCCAGCCCGGTGGACAGAGCAAGACTTGTGTCTCAAAAAAAAAAAAAAAGGCAGAAGAAGAAGAGTAGCATGGGACATGTATATAGAAAGCTTTGTTAGCTGCTGAGTGCGGAGGGGTTCGACACTGGAATCCTAGCACTTGCGAAGGCGCAAGGCAGGGATCTCTTGAGCCCAGAAGTTAGAGTCCTGGGAGGCCCTGGCAACCAAATCTGCGGCCAACATGCAAGATTCCTATCTCT